AATGCAGGTAGATTATCTTCTATTTATCATAATAAAGGCCTTTTGTTGTTGTCTATGATACCCAAAATTCCTTTACTTACACCAACTAAGAGACAGTTGAGAACAAGAGAGAGAAAAGATAGGGAAAAAAGGAAATAAGTGATTGTTGTGTATATATAAAATGTTAAGATAATGACATCTCAAGATTAGTATTTACAGTAATATGTTGTCCTTTTTCTCTTTGTCTCCTCCATTTTACATTGCCTCTTTTTTTCTCCCTTACACTAAATAACTTGGTGCTTCTGGTATTTAGTCATGGTATAAAATCCATGATTGTGTAGAGGTGCAGGTAGTATCCACACTCTAGCCTTTCCTACTCACTTCAGGTTATAGAAACAGGAAATAATGCTTCTGATTCCATACTCTTACTTTCTACAAAGCATTGTGTCTGCCAGTGGATTGACTGTGAACTGGAGATTGAATTTCATTTTCTGAATGCCTCTGCTGGCATTAGCTTTAATAAGAATGCTTACAGAGAATGCTAGATTGCCTTGTTGGAAGGAAATCCCTTTTTCTGCAATTCTGCATTATGGGGAACAAACACGAGGTTTTGGGGAACTGGAGAGTCTACGGAACCAGGCTGATCAGCACCCCAGTATGTTGCTTCTCTCTTTGTAGCCCGAGTCTGAGGAAGAAAAGCTTCCAGAAGGCCCAGTTGTACACATTTATTCTAGGAAGAGATCATGGCTGACTCTGTATTAGTTACAGACATGACTTTCCTGGCAAAAACATAATTTGTTTGAATTTTTATTAAATAAAAAATCATAGTCACTGTCATCCAAGCCAGCTTTCTATCAAACAAAACTTCCTTACACAAACTCTTCTGGAATTTGTTTTTTTTAATGCCTTTAGACTGTTAACGTATTAAAATGCCTTTTACAATTTTTTAGCCATGGGAAATCTAGCCTTAATCCTGGCCTCAGAAGGTTGATTGTAAGACGTGTCACAGGGCACCAGTAGATCATGAATCTACCAACAACTCACTATTAAAAAAGATTGGCTTTATCTGGCAGCTCCAAGAGCCTCATTCACAAAATAACAACTGAATCTGTAAGAGCAGGCAGTATCTCTTTTTGACAATGAGTAAGAGTAAATGATTTCTGAAAGAGTTGCTTAACAATAATAGAAGATGAAGTAATACGTGCATGGATGGAATGGGTATCTGTTTCTTCCTGCTAATGGCATCTTTTTGTCCCTCCTCTTCTCCTCCACCCCCTTTCTAAAGTGAAAAGCTAGTAAGATAAAGCAATAAGTAGCCTAGCTGGTGGCCTTTGCCTTAAAAATCTGACTGAGAGAGTCAGCTGGCAGAGGCCCTGGGGGGTCAGCCTGCCAGCCTGGAGCTACTCTCCAGTAGTTGCAGAGAGGCTGGCTGGGGCTGGGACACTAGCCATCTGGGGAACTAGCTGAGACTGGGGTGCTTGTGAACAGGCAGCACCTGCACTGAAGCTACCTCCTGCCCCAGCCAGTTTGTGCAGCATTGCTGCACACTAAATAACATTGCCATAGGACAGTACTTGTGTTCACAAGTACTGACCTACAGTGGAGTTAATTAGTTTACTGCAGCCTTATAGGGCTGCATTTGTAGATTCTGAGACTTTACTGTGGAGCTAATTGGGCAGTTCCACAATAAACATCTTGTGTAGCCCACTGAAGCCTAAAATGTATGTATTCCGATCACAGACACAACAGAGTGCACTGGAAGTACTTTGTCTAGATGGGAAGGAAGAGACCTTGCATATAATTTATACTTACTACACATTCCTTTATTGTTACTCTACCCAAACATGTTCTACTGTCATGACCCATAAGTCACACTGATTGTCTGTTACTTTACATATTATTATACAGATTATTCAATGATACCTATTCAGGAATTCCATTACCATGACTGCAAAAATAGTTTAATTCAGACATTTTATCTTCCTTTTTTCCTTCTCCTTGGGAGAAGAAAGTTAATTTAACTAATTAAAACAATTTAAATAATTCAAACAAAAGTGTTATTTTTTTTACCTGAAACCATGTTGGCAGAGACTTGCCAGAATCCATCAATCCCTACCTGCTCCATCCACAAACTTCACTGCCTTGCAAAGCATAGCGTAGCTTCCATCTGTTCTGTGCTCCCCAGCACTTGCTGCCTAGTCTTGACTGCCACTTGAAATGGTTCTTTATCTGGAAATCCACAAAACTCTAAACAGTATAAATTACAAAACAAATAATTTTAAAATGCAATGCGTTGCAAAACATTTGCTAAATATCTATGTCAGGTGTTTCATGATTGTTTATTCCATAGCTCTAGAGCAGGGGTTTTCAACCTTTTGGGGTCAGTGTACCCCCAGTGGCTGGATGCAGAGCAGTGTACCTCTGGTGGCTGGGTGCAGTGTGGGGGAGGGGGGTGCACAGCCGGACATTGAGTGGGTGTATGTGGGGGGGTGACACATGGCTGGACACAAAGCAAGGGGGGGAGGGTGCATGCGTGGCTAGCTACAAAGCAGGGTGTGGGGG